ATTGGCTTTGAGCACATCCTTGAGTTCAATGCAGTCTTATGAAGGAGAATGACACATCAATAAATAATTACCTGGCAATGTTGTCAAGGCTAACGTAGTAGTTAGGCAACGTGCCACAGGAACAACTAACTGCCTGGAAAAGTTTTCATAGAGAAGGTTGCAACTGAACTTAAACTTAGAGGATTCAAAAGTGTTCACCAGAGTCTTCCCAGGCACAATAAACCACCTATACACAGGGCTGGAGACACAAATCAGGAAACTCACGGGGATGGTAAGAAGTCCAGTGTGGCCGGAGCAGAGGGTTTCAAAAGGGCCAAGAGAAGGCAGTATGGCTGGATGGATAGACTTTTGTTTCTCTAACAGAAATTAAACAAAGGAATAATATGTTCAGGTTTTGTGTTTTGAAAAGGAAACAAAGTCTACAGTGGCTTCTAGAAGGAAATTATTGGCAGAATGATTGTCAATGTGAATGTGACAGGTCAGATTTTTCTATTGTCAAACGGTGGTTCTTAACCACCTCCCACGGCATATCTTAGGTTGTTACCACTGGCAGTGGGAGGGAGTGTGTTCCAGGGTACTCTAGAGTCCAACGATTCTGCTAAATATCCTACAATGCACAGGTCAGGCCCCCAAAACAAAGAACTGTCTGACCCAAAATGTCAATGGAACCAAGGATAACAAACTGTTCTAAAAGAGGATGAGGTGGCCAGAGAGCACAACGTGGCACAGCCCACAGTGGACTTCACCAGAAAAACAAAGAGCAAGTCAGTAAGATTGTAGAACTTCTCAATTTTTTTTCTCCCCCTATACAAATGCTGGGTGACAACCATGTGCCTGTGAAACTTGAAACTATTCATCCTTCCCTCCTTCCAGTAAGTGAGAGGGATGATCTTACTGGAGTAACCTTGAATTTGACACAGCGGATATTCTGTAAAGGAAATCATTTGTAAACATCGATACTTGATTAGTCACAACACTGCTTGAGATCACTGCTGATCAAAGCATGAAGCTAGGCAACACTGAAGAGCAGAATCACTGCCTCGGGCACTGCTCTAAGGGGGAAAGCACAACAGGATCTCTCTCCTAGCAGACCAGTGATCTTCAGCCCAGGCATAAACAAAGGAAAAGCAACTCCTCCCACCAGGAAAACCAGGACTCACCAATTTTCCAGGACACTGATTTACTAGGACTTCTGCTACTGTCCTCAAGGCTAGAAAACATTCCCCCAGGGCACCAATCCCATGTGCCCATCACTTTTTAAATTCAAGTCCCACTATTTGTCCATGTTGGGGAACAGAGTTCTTAAAACACAAAATAAAAAATCAAGCCAAACACATGCTTAAAACCCAAACTGTATTGAAAACTGTGACAGTAAAAGACATTCTGTCCAGACCAAGAAGGGAAATGAAATCTCTTTTTTCAGATGTCATTTTGCTGCTTTCATTCCTGTTTTTACCTGGGTCTTCATGGCTTACCTTTCCTCTCATTAGTGCTGCTGCTACTATCACAGTTCAGTAATTGAGAGCTGTTATTTGAAAGCACAGTATAATGACCCAACACAGTAGCCAAGCTGAACTCCACAAATTGGGGAATCTGCCCTCTTGTTGGTTTTCAATTGAGAAAATGGATTTCATTACAAAGACAATGTCTGTGAAAGTGCTTGGGTAGGAAGCAGCACTTCCAGGATTGTGCCCATAGAGTCAAGCTATGAGACTGAGAAGGGACATAGGATTCTGTAATAGACAACAAATCAAAGGGACCTCTACAAAGAATTTAGTATTCACAGTGTACTTCCCAAAAGATGCAATAAAAACTAGTAGCAGTAGTGGCCTCTGGAGAGGATGAACCAAGTGTCAAGAGAACAATGGCAGCAAAAGAACTCATTGTTCACAGTATATCCTGTAGTGCCCTTTGAATTCTGAATCATGTGTATGTATTACTTGTTAATAAAATAATTTTAAAAAGATGAATGTTGTAAAAGTCACAAAAATAGTGTTTCTGTCTTCTGACTTAGTTTCTATCCTCTTATCCTATATGGTCATTGACTCCAGGAATTTTTTTTAAACTCAGTTCTATTGTTGGAGCTATGAATTCACTCTGAACTCCCAGCCTGTGTTTCCACCTAGCAAGGGCTTTCTCATCTGCAGGTCCCACCCAGGGATACTTCTGGGACAACATGCTCCAAACCCATGTCCTCCTCTTCTCTTCTTCCTTCCTACCCGCTTCCTTCCAAGCCGGTTCCTTTTCCAATATTCTCAATCATTATTAGAAATAACTACCCATTCATCTTTCCAATAAAAACTTTAGTGTTACCTTAGGGATCCACCCTCTCCGGATCCCTATTATAGTCACCAAATATTGCTAATTCATCTCTATTGGTTTAAGAGACCATCAAATAGAAGCACTCTTGTATTACCCCATTGACCTTTCTAGCAGGATGTCTTCTAAACTATAATCCTTTACTGTAATGTGAAATCCCTGACTCGATTTCCATCTCAATCATTCTCACTTCTGCAGCCCTGCCGGCCAGTCATCTTTCTCAAATACACTTACCTGAGCATGCTTCAGAACCTTGGATAGCTCCCTGGTGCCCGCAAAATGAAGTCTCCAAGACCTACTCTGACAAATGACCATTTATAATGCACCCTGAAGAAACTTTTCATCCTTATCACATAAACTGTACCCTAGCCATTATGGTCTCTCAAGACTTGCTTGCTCGCTGATGACTTCTGCATGCCTCCACAACTGTGCACTTCCTGTTTGCTTAACTAGGATAGCCTTCCTTTCCTCCCACCAAGCCTTGTCCAAAAATGAAATCTCTATTCATCCTTCCAGATTCCCCACTCAGATTATAGCTTCACTGAAAAGCTTTTTGGGCTTTTTCTCTCTTCTGTGCTCCTTAACACTCTGTACACATCTAATGACAACTCCAACCAGAGTCTTTCCCTCTTTCCTCATTATTTGTTTCCATCTCCCCTACCAATATGAGAGCTGCTTTAAAAAACGTTTTTAAGCTAGTATATTTTATTCATCTTTAAACATACTGCACCTCCTTACTAACACTGCACATAAATATTGCTGAATGAATTGGCCAAAAGTACTTTGGTAAAATGTAACACATTATCCCAAAATTTTATAGACCTATGTGGCTAAAAATCTCATTTCTTCGCCCTCTCTCTCTGCATACCTATTGGCACGCTATCACAGGTCTCAGGAGGGCCAGTAATTCAAAGGGAACTAACAAAGTGCCTGCTATTTGTAAACAGGGCCATTTGTAAACCCTCTGGGCTGGATTTACAGATTGCTTTTCTAACTCTGACAATGCTCCTTTGAGCACTGCTCCACTCTAGAAGCGTTTCTTTCCCAAATGTCTTGAGTCCTATAAGTAACCTTTGTTTACCCTGCAAACACTTTCAGGGAAGCTGAATAGAGCTGAAAAATAAAGTAGTGGCCCTGCAGGGACCCACCTGGCCAGTGACTCATGTCAGCCTAGAGGTAGAGAGGGGCTTCTGAGACTCGGTTCTAATCCCTGCCTACTTCTGCTTCCATCAGCTACTTAACTGTTGAAACTCAAAGGGCTCTTTGCTCCCAGTGAAGACCCTGGCAGCCCATTAATCACCAGCTTATTCAAGTAAAACAGCGTCATAAGCAACGTGATAACCTGAGTGGCTTGAAGAACAGTGGGCAAAAAAAATTAGGTGGGCTGGCACTCATTTGAATGGAGGTGAAGGGGGCAGAGAACCCATGACAGCTCCCAGCCTTAGGGTCTTTGCTTTCACTGTTCTCTTAGCTTAGAATCCTCTACCCTGAATTATTCCCATTCCAGTCTCTAATCAAATGTCACTCCCCAAGAGGCTATCCTGACAGACCTAATCTAAAAAGGCAGCATGCATGTCTCTCCATCTTCTCCCCCTGCTCTATTCGTCTTCCCAGACCCTACCGGCACTTCACGTAGCATTTACACTTGACCGGTTATCTGAATATACACTGACCGCAATCTCCCCCATTCATCCAGGTGAGCAGGGGTGTTTTCTGCGGTCTCATTACCAAACAATCCAAGCACATAAATGCTTGTTGTTTTTTTAAAAGCAGCAAAGAAGTAGGATGAAGGGTATTTGACATTTGGAGGCTGTACAATCCCATGTGTGAAGAGGCCAAACGATTAACACACAGGAGTTCTCAGCTTACCCTCTGCTGTCCACCCGTGATATAGCAATGTGGCACCACCTTCTATTCCTCTGCCCACTCTTTGCTCTTCCTTTGTCCAGGAAAGAATGGGTAAAAGCCACAAATGAGGATTCTCTCAAGAAAAATGACACAAACGTCATAGCTTTCTGGAGGCGACGGAAAGGATTGGAGGAGTGCTCAAGAAACTAAAATGGCAACAGCCTGGTGGGGTGATACACACCTGTAATCCAAGCACTCGGGAGGCTGAGGCTATGAGTTCAAAGCCAGCCTGGGCTACGTAATGAGTTTAAGATCAGTGAGACCTATAGAGTGAGACCTATAGAATGAGACCCTGTCTCAAAAAAAACAAACAAAAAGAGAAACTAAGACGACAGAAAGAATGTGGCAAAGAGTTCTATGTTTGAGGGTGATAAATTTAAAAAATTAAAGGAGAGAGGGGTTAGTAATGATTTGGTATTACATGAACTCTTGGACCTGGAGGCCACCTAATGAGAGACCCTAGTGTCCTAGCTGTGTGTCAATCTCTACTTTACCCCTCTGTGCCTTCCCTTCCTCATTTGGAATGAAGATCTGATGAAGCAGAGGTTCAATGTTGGATTAAGTCAGAGCAATGAGCCAGAAAAGAATATCAGAAGCCCCACATGCTCCACTGAGGAGTTTGATCCTTTGAGTGTGGTGACTCTCCCTGGCTAGGGAGACGAAATTACTCTACAGGAAAAAGAGGGTCTAAGTCACTTTCAAGTGGAGTAAGCACTGACCACTTTACAGTTTGGTAGTCTGCATGCAGCATAGCTTTGAATATAGATACTCACGGTTCTGGAGTGTAGAGAGGGTCTGAGCCATGCCGGACGTACTGAGTGCAGTGGAACACTCTGTAGGCCAGTCCTGCCAGAAAGTCCCTTGGGCTCAGGTAGCCAGCCACGGGCCGCACCATGAAGCCAGAGCGCTCTAAAGAGACAACAGAAAGAGCCAACTAAATAGTACTCTGACAAGAACCATGGGCCCACACAGGGGTCCCTACTATTTATAAGGGTGTTCCACAAAGTAATCAAGATTTTAACACTTTTGACCACTGGGTGACATATCCTGTGAACAGTTAGCATTGTTTGAGGCTTCTGATACCTAAAATATACTCATAAATAATGGCTTCTAGAATAACAAGACATTTGTTAAAGGGAAAGAAAGGTGAAAAAACTATTTAAGAATTTAAATTCAGGAGCCAAATTAGGATAAGAAATCTCAAAGACACAAGGGAAGATTACAATGTAAAATGAAGTTTACCGTCTAAGGAATACATTACCCAGCTTCTTTTTAAAGGAGTAGGGGAAGTGGGAAGGGGAGGGGAAAGAAAATAGGAAAAAGAAAAAAATATGATAAAAGGAAAAAGTGGAAACAAAGTCTTTGTAAATAGTGAAGGGTGGGGTGGGGTGAAAGGAGGGCAGGGGATGGGGAAAAAATAAGAACCAAGAGACAGGATGTAAAGGTAAAAGATCCCAATGATGAATGTAACTACTGTATACCTAAAAAGACCAATAAACTTAATGAAGAAAAAAAAAGAGTCATTCAGGCACTCACCATGTGGGTGTTGACAGCAACACAGCGCCAACACAGCCTTTCACTAGCGTCCTGGACTCTGTTCACACTGTAGCTATGTCGATATTGCCTAACTCCTTCATCCTTTTTGTGATGCTGTATTAACTGCTGTGATTTGAAGAGGTACACTGAAGCACTACACACTTTACTGACTTGCAGTAAGAAGAAACCAAATAAGAAAAAGAATAGGGAATTGCCCTAAACCATCAACCCATGTAGGCTGCAGCTCATTGGTATTCTCTGTTGGAAGGCTAGCTCATGCTTCGTTCCATAAAGGTCCAGAAAACTCACAGCACTCTTTTTATTTTTAAATATAGTTTATAAAAAATGGCAAGTACTTTGTAATGGCTGCTTTACACTGTCCTCTTCGCACAAGAGCAGTTCTTTTTTAAAGTGAAAACTATATATTTAAAGTATAAGACATGTTTTGATAGACATACACATAGTGCAATGATTCCCCCTCTTTGCCTGAAAATAAGACCTTGCTGAAAAATAATCAGCCTTGAAAACTAGAGGTCAAAAACACCAGCCCCAGGATGAAGAGAGGGTAGGGGTATGGGGAAGAAATGAGAACCAAGATCTGTCATGTAAGGATACGAGAGCCCAATGACGAATGCAACTGTAATATACACTTAAAAAGCACCAATAAACTCAAAAAGATTTAAGAAAATAAATAAATAAACAAGAAAAAAAGAAACACCAGCCCCAGCCAAGCTATCCTTGCCTTACCTGCCATCACTATTCTCTTGCTTGATGGCTACTCTGAGGCAGGTAAAAAAGTATAGGCTGAATGTGCTGGCATTTTTGACCTCTAGTTTTCAAGACTAACTATCCACAGCACTACAGTCCAGCTAATAGATCCATCTCCTCACATATATGTATGTATGTTAAGAACACAAAAAATCTACTCTTTCAACAAATTTTCATTATACAATACAGTATTACTAGCTGTAGTTATCCTGTTGTGACAGGTCTTTAGACTTATTTATCCTAGATAACTGCAACACTGAGCCATTTGACCAACATCTCCCTATTGCCCAGACCTCTCCACCTCCCTTAACCACTATTCTATTGTCTGCTTCTATACGTTTGCTGTTTTAGATTCCATATATAAGTGGGATGATGTAGTACTTGTCTCTTTGTTTGGGGCATATTTCACCTAACCTATGGTCCAGAAGGACTGTTCTTATACCTGATACCAGTATTGCACAGTTTCCCATTTTAAAAACATAACCTCTTAGAAGAGCACCTTAGAATTGCTAGAAATGGCCTTAAAAGGCAAAAACCAAGTTTATAGAACAAGTCCACCCTGCCAGGTACAGTGACATCCCTTGCAATGCCAGCACTCTGGAAACAGGGGCAGGAGGATCACAACTTCAACACCAACCTGGGCTACATTGTGAATCCCTGTTTCAAGACAAAAAAAAAAGTCCACCCTGGGATTTCTGATACATTCATTAAAATAACATTGCTCTCAGGCGTGCTCAGACCCATAATTCTAATAGCACTATATTCATTCCAAAACTTTTTTCTTTCAATTATTCCCCTCTGAGTACTAAAGAGATAAATATATTTTCTTTTTTTTATATATATTACATCAATTAAGCCAGTAATCCCACTTGTGGGACAAGACTGATGGTACGCAGAGGGGCATATTTTTTATTTTAATAATTATGTATTTTATTTTATGTAAATTAGAAAAATATGATATAATAATATCAAGGACTTTGAGTCTGTAGATATTGTTTTAAACACTTACACTTTAAATAAATTAGGTATTTTAGAAGTTGGTCAGTTAAAAGAAATTAAAACATCATACACTTACATATTTTTGCCATGTGCCAGTGAGTGACACAAACCACTCCATACTGATACTCGTGAAAATACTAATTTGGAAGATAGATATGACAAAAAATACAAGATGGTACTTTAATTACTGGGGTTTAAAAACAATGTAGTAAAAAGTAAGCCCCATATAAAAGCAATGGAGCCTGAGGTAAATATATAGTATGCATGTAACTCTTTATAAAACAAAGAACATGACTCTCAGAGCCATTAGGGAGAATATAATCTAGTTAAACAACAACAGAAAGCATCACGTAATTAGCTACTAATTAAGTGATACTGATCAGTGGTTCTCAATCTCTTTTCTCAGTAACAAGGCCTGTGCAGTAGATAATGGGCAAACTCAGGATCCTCCACCACAGGCCACAGCGCCGAGCTAGTGTGGCTGTCAGTGGAGCACCGTGAGCTGAGCATATCCCCTTCCTGATACACACATGATAGCGAATGGAACTACAGGGAGAGGTCATGGTGTGTTAGGATCAGAATTCATGGCGGAAATAGGATTTGCTCGAAGTCTTGAAGAATAGGTAGAATTTGAGTAGGCAGAGAAGAGATGAATTTTTTCAGTAAGGGTCAGAGGTTACACGAACATGTTGAGAGCCTACAGGAGAGGAGAGGGTATGTTCAGGGCAGTTGCCACAGAAGACAAACTTCGAGGTTGGGTCGGGGCCCTGAACTGATGCTAAGCAGTTCGGGCATGGCCAAATGTAGCTCACTGCTGGTTTTTGTATATCCTGGGGGTATGGTTTTTATATTTTTTTAAAATGGACAAATGTAAGTGCCTATAGAAGGACCATATAATATGCTAGATTTTGCCTCTATCTACTAGTCCTTTACCAAAAACATATGGCAATCCAAGTAAAAGTAATGGAGAACCACTGAGCATTTCTGAGCAGACATGATGAGAAGAAAGAAATGTTTGGGTTTTTTTGGTACCGGGGATCGAACTCAGGTCCTTGTGCTTGCGAGGCAGGTGACAGAACCACTCAGCTAAATCCCCGGCCCAAGAAATGTTTAAGGCGATGTTTTAGCAAAGTAATGTTTCAGGAATGTATGTGGAAGCAGCAGGCAGGAAAGTAAATGGAAGAAAACACAGGCATCAAGGTGAAAAAAGAATGGGAACCTTCAATTTGTGACAGTGAAATAGAAAGAAAAGACTTGATGTGTCATAAAGCTAGAAGTTTGTGGATATGCTACCTCACTTGCCAGCGTAGACTTCACAGATGCCATTACTTTAAGGATTTGAGATGGAGAAAATACCCCAGATTTCCAGGTACAACTGTTCCAGTCACAAGGGCAAGTTGGTTGGAAATGGAGATGTGACAGTGGAAGCTGGAGATCAGAGTGAGGTAGGAAGAGCTCACAAGCCCGGGAATGCAGGCAGATCTGGTAGCTTGAAGAGGCGAGAGCCAGAGCTTCTAGAAGGGTTGTAGCCCTGATGATGCCTTGATTTTACACTTCTGACCTCCAGGACTGTAAGGTAATCATTTGTGTTAAGTCCTAAAGTTTGTGGTAGTTTGTTACAGTGGTAAGGAAACAATGCACAACAGGGCAGGCTTTTCCCTTTGCCCTTCCCCATGTTTTTACCATAAAATGTTCTGTTCAAGAAATGTAACTGTGCTACATGATGTTCCTGCTGATTGTATCATGCCACATGATGTTTCTACCTAAGGTTTCAGAAATGTTCTGTTAACTCTGCCTATCCGCTGCAATGAGCATGTTCCTCCAGTAGGTGAGCTCACCATTGCTCCATACACACATACACCCCATAGATCTCTACATAGGGCTGTTCCCATTTCTTTTCGGGGCTCAGAATTTGGAGTGTTTGAGTTCCTCTGGGACAGCTCGCTGATACAGTTCAGTTTTTCTCCAGCAATTCAAGTGACTCTCATATTCTTGTGTCAAGTCACTGTAGCTGTAACACAGAGCTGTAATACTTGGCTATAATGCTGAGCTCTCTCACTTTCCCACAACAACACAACAATAAAATACTAATACAAAGACCTACACAGTAGGGGAGAGAAGGGAGAAGGCTGGCAGGAATTCAGAGGAGACCTTAGGGGCAAGGCTGATGTGTCAGAAAAATAAAGTATCCTGACAGAAACGTGGAAGACAGGCATGGGAACGATTTCAGGAAAGGAAGAGCACTTCAGACAAAGAAGGGGAAAGGACAGAGAGGAGCAGAGGACTCAAGGACTTAACCACAATGAAGAACAGATAAGGAAGTGAGACCTCCAGGAACTGCGCCTCCTCCCTGAGCCCTCAAAGAGCCTTCTGTCTTCTTGCTGAGGAGAGTGACAGAGAATATGAATGTGGTCACGCTGGGATTCATCCCACTGGTGTGTATACAGCCCCTGGCACACAACTTAAACTTAACAATATTGATCAGTTGATTCACTGACTGATTTGTCCCAGAGGAAAGTCCCTAACGTTCAACATTATCCGTGATATTCCTTAATCCAGTACAACCTGAGAGGTCATTCTATATCCATGTAGCTCAAAAGAATAGTAACTCCTGGGTCAGAAAAAGCTCCAACCTGAACCTGTGAATGTCCTTTGGTGTTTACCAAGTTTGACAACAGAGAACGAGAGGCCTCAGCAAGTCCCAAGCTGTGTAAGCAGTCAATCCACCTCCCTGACCTAGAGACCTGATCTGCTTCCCTCTGATGGCCCACAGGGACTTGCTGGCTCAAAGCTCCTCTTGTTAAACTACTGCTTTTCCTTTCTAGGAAAAAGGCCATTGCCATTTGTGAGTCCTTGAAAGACAAATGAGGACGCTGGCTAGGAAAAGATATCCTGGAAGTCTCACCTTTTAGAAATGAAGACACGTCTTCAAGTTGAGGCACATTGTCCTCCCTGTAGCCACAGTATTTAGTCAGCAAGGGGAAGTTTTTCAAATACTCTCGGCAAGCATGAGTGGGATAGAGTTTGGAGAGCTCCCGGAATACAACACCCCAAGTTTTAGTTTCTTCTTCTGTGTACTCCACCCTGGGAATGGGCTGACCACTAGGAGGAGAGAAGAAAAATAAATTAATCTATGGCGGCATACACTTGCCACACCAGCTCTCTGGGAGGCTGAAGCAGAAGGGTCAAAAGTTCAACCTCATTTACGCAACATAGCAAGACATCATCTTAAAAATTCGAAAACAAAATTTTTAAAGGTCAAAGGATGTGCAAAGGCCCTGGGTTCAAACCCCAGTATATACACACATATGTACATCTAGCTTTCAACTACTAAGTATATCCTCACCTAAGCACAGGTCAGATTCTTCTAAAGTGGAACATTTCCATGTTCAAAAGGACCCTATTAAGTATTGGGTTTTTTTTAAGTAAACACTAATCTCCTAACTTTTTGTGTATTTAGACTGCAATGTAATTTTAATTAAATCACTTATGTACCCTTATAGAAATTTGGTAAAATTTATTTTCTTAAACTAAGAATGGTAACAATAAGAGTTCTGGGAGGATAGAAACTATGCTGTAAGAGTTTTGCTACAATCACAAGACAACAATAATAAGTGGATGTTGTGTTTTGAAAATAGAATTGCTCTGGGCTGGGGATTGAGCTCAGTGGTGCCACTGCCTGCCTTGCAAGCACAAGGACCCAAGTTCAATCCCTGGTACGAAAAAAAAAAGAAAAAAAGAACTGAAAATAGAATTGCTCCGCTAGCTCTCTTTGTACCCTGCCCAGACTCACCTCAATTTCCAAGCACAATTTTGTGGCAAATACTAAAAGACTATGCCGAATTTCAAATGAGAGTTTTGCAAATCCCAAAATAAGAAATATTTATTGCAGGTCATACTAAAAGGCATATACATTAAGCCTGCTTCCTTTAAGACAAGGGTTAGCAAACTTCCTGGAAAGGACCAGAAGGTAAACACTTTAGGCCTGTGGTTCACATGGTCTCTGTCACGATTCTGCCACTGTCTTTCCAAGGCAGCCGTATGTGATAAGCAAATGGATGGAATGTATTCTAATGAAACCTGCTTAAGTTTGGCCATATGGATATTGGTGCACTGATGACTGGGTTTGGTTCTGGAAATTTGTCCAGACTGGAATGGTCACAGAGAGCTTCAGGGGAGGTACAACAAGAGCTGAAACTTGTCTTGTAGGATCTGTATATTCCCTGACAAAGAGATGACAAGGAAATGCTGTCCCACAGCCAGCAGCCAAGCACAAGAGACCAGTTCCCAACAAAACCTGTAGGAAAAGAGGAATGTGGGCTTGTGCTTTTGCAATTGATTGAGAGACTAGAATCTAAATGCAACCTCTTATTAAGATACCTACCCTGTAAGTGAATCAGAGTTTGAGAACAAGTCCTCATGTCATTTTCAACAGCCCCTCTGCCCACTCTGGTTACTCATCAGAAACTCCGCCCCTATGATCAGCAAATACATATGTACGACATATGAAAGTCAAAATAGGTATAGATAACACCAGGGTTTCTGCCTCTGCAATCTATGACTCCAGGCCAAAGTAGGCAGTCACTTGCTGCAGAGACCCTGTGTAGACAAGATAACAACTGCCACTCGGGGTCACGGCAGCTGCAGGGCACCTTCAAGGACTTGGGATCATTCCAGACAATCCCTTGAGGTAGTAAAGAAGAGAAAGACAACAATAACAAGGGTAGGCTGTCAAATAGGTCCTCTTGCTGCCCACCCAACTTCAATTCCTCCCATATTTCAGTTTTCAGTTTTCTTGTTCCGATACCTTCTATTTAAAGTTCAGGTCCAAATGTGGTTCTTACTGCTCCCGGATTGTTGGTTTGTTTGTTTTGGGTGTTGGATTTTTTTTTTTTAAGAAAAAGAAAGAGGTCAGAGGAAAGGAAAAAAAGGAGGAAGAAGAAGAGGAGGAGGAGGAAAATACATAAGCAATGCAAAAATATTGAAAAAAGAACTAGAAATTAACATTTGCTTTCCCTAAGTACAAGACTTAGGTTTATACAAACCAAATTAAATCAAGATTAGCCTTATTTAAATTTGACTGTTGATAGCAAATAAAAAATTGCAACCTGGCATATATTTGCTGGGAAGATCGAGACTAAGTCTTCATATCCATAATGAATTTAGAATGAAAACTTGATATGGGAAGATAAAAATAGAAAGGATACAAGGAAAGAAAATATAAATGGTCTTCCTCTGGCTCCAGAAAATTCAGCTAGATCAATTTGAGTCATGTAGGCCAATAAAACTAATAAATGCTGTGCATGATCAGAAGGTAGGAAAGCAATGAGGCTGAAACAATAAATGAAATATCGAGAAGCCATTTGAAGAAAATCGTTACATCAAATGTTTCCCTTCCATCTCAATCTGCAAACCTACAGCAATTCAAAAGGGAGCTGAACGTAGCCAACAGGGTGCAGAAAGAATCAGTGTGAATTAGAGTAGGAAGAAAGAATTATACAGGTCTGTTGCTCAATAATGAATTTCCCCCAGCACCACCAGGGGAATAAGGATAGCTGTGTCTGTTCGCATCTGTGTGCGCTTGTCTGCCCCACCTGGGTAGCTTGCTGGCCTGCCCTCTGAGCTGATGAACTGGTGTGGGGCCCCACTGCAACCCTGAGCTCAGCTGAGTCACCTCTGGTGCCATGAGATTTCTCACACCACTCCAACCCCCTGTCCTGGGCAACTCTTTCAGGTAAATACTCAAAACTTCATTATAAAGAAAGAGCTAAATTCATCCATTTAATTTTCATTGAAAACATCCAAAATATAGAAAAAATTAAAAATGCCCTTTTTTCTATGTAGTTCATATAGATATGCAATAATAGCTAACATCTGAGTGTTTACCACATGCCAGACACTTTTACGAATTAACCTTCAATTTTCATATGAACTAACCCATTTGATTCCCACAACTCAATAAGACAGATATTGATCTTATCCCCACTTCACATGAAGAAATTGAGTCTCAAAGGCATTGAACAAATTGTCTAAAATCATAAAGCCAGGCTTGATTGAAACTTAGTCCATCTGGCACAGGACACTACAATCTTCATTGGTCAGTATATACCAGTGAATTTAAAAATGTATTTTGGACATCAACTTATTTTCACATTCCAAACTAAAAAGGGTCTTAGTTAAGTGAGTGGGGTGATTGGTGTGTAGAAAATTCATCTGTAGTCATATGTCATCATGATACTAGCATGTAGTTGTATCTCACTAAGAGCATTTTCTTATATACTTTTTTTTTTTTTTTTGGTACCAGGGATCAAACTCAGGTCCTTGCACTTGCAAAGCAGGTGCCAGAACCACTGAGCTAAATCCCCAGCCTATCTTATACACTCACTTCTTAAACTTCTCAGTGAAACTCAGGGCCAGGTTACCAATGGAATAAGCATGTTTTGGGGCCACCAGGAATGTAGGCCCACTCAACTATTTTTAAAACTATGAAACTTGACATTTGGAAAAATAAAAATTGTTGTCATGGGGAAAATCACAATGTATTGCATTTTTTCACACTTACTATGAGTTAGTGGGGGTTTTTATGAATCGCATCTGAAAAGGGTTCCAGCAGGGAAGCCTGGCCTTTTTACAAGCCTTAAATATAGACCTGTGTGTCATTATACATCTATCTGTGGGTACCTGTTATAAGGCATGCATAATAGATATCATATATCAGCATTCTAAAACTTGGCTCCAGCCCAAAACTAAAGTTATTTAAGTACTCCACATTTTAGAGAAAGCCCTTCCCACCAACTGAAACCAGCCATCTCTTTAGAGGGTCTAGTAAGAAGCAACAGAAATGGCTTATCACCAATAAACTCCTCCCATACAACCCTTCCCAGCCATTCCCAGACCTCATCCCCCAGTCTCATAGGGAATAAGAGGTGCTCAGGAATGCTAGAAGGCAGTGCTTAATGGAAAGAGTCAGGTTCTCTTCTCTTCCCTAGGTCAGAAGGGTAACCTGCTCCATTAAATCATTTCTAAGGACAAATGACATGTGTCAGAAGTCTTTCCAGCTTTCCCGATGGATCTTGCTGTGCAGTAGGACCACAGGGCTCCTTGGCGCTGGTATCAGCATAGAGCAGGGAAGCAGCAGCCTATGGGAGACTATTTAGAAGCCTAGGAGTATGGAGCACTTTGGGGCCGAAGTGGGGACTCCTTTATCATGTGTCCTTAGAAACGTAAGGTTCACATGAATATGAAATCCAATGCCCAACAGAATCTAGAGATTCTTGTGAGACTCAGTCAGTCACTCTCTTGTCACTGGGATAAAACAGCCAACACCTACAACTTAAAGGAGGAGAGATTTATTTTAACTCATGGTTTCAGTCCATGGTCATCTGGCTCCTAGGCAGGAAGAGGGTGGCAGAGGGGAATGGTGGAAGAAAAGGTGCTCAACTCCTGTCAGGCCGGAAGCAGACAGTGAAGAGAGGAGTAGGGGACAAGAATATGCCCTTCCAGGTCACACCTGCAGTGACCCAGTTCCAGTTCCCTCCAGGCCCCACCTCCTAACAGCATATTTAGCTATTGAACTCACCAAGTATAGCACCCAATCACCTTCAAAACACATGAGAATTGGGGGTGGGGGACAATTCAGATCTAAATCAAAGTGTCGTGCCTGGGAGAAAAATAGAGAAGTCTCACTCTTCACTTCTGCTCATTTCTCAGGATCAGAGACTGGTTCCTTTTATCCCTCATGAAGAACCATTGAGGGTGTCCAAGCTCTGAGATGTCCAACCTGGTGGAGGGGCCCATGATCTCTGACAAGACCAGGGGCGCACTTCTGTATGAGTAGAGTTAGAGGGAATGGCCTTACCCCCAAAACAATGTCTAGCAATACGCAGAGTCCAACACTTCAGCAGAGAGTGCCCTACCAGGAAGAATCTGTGTGAACCAGGATGAGTTAGGCTTGAGACCTGCCCACCACTGATACTCCAGCAATCACATCAAATATCTCAGCCTCTTCCTTCCCTCTATTCAGACCCCAAGTCCAGAGGATCTAGGTCCTAAAAGAGGGAAAGAAAGTATCTAAGAACTAGAGTACACCTGCTCTCAAAAAC